TCATTAACAATGCACCTCGCCTTTCATTAATGCATGTTCCTTACCACCGATCATGTTCCATAGCCATGTATCGCGTGGCGCGCCGTCGCGCTGCGCCATGAGCGGCTCGCAATGCGTCACCGGGGACCAGTTCACCCCGGCTAGGACACGGAACAGCGTCGTCCGGCAGCAGCTCAGTGAGGACGGGGGCCGGTGGGTGGCACCTGACACCGGCCCTCCTGACCCAGAGCTGGCGGCGCACCGGCCGGACCGGTCCGTCGGGCGACCAGTTTCTGATTTATACAGCCGGCACCCGCCCAGCGCCGGCGCCGACCGGCCGCGCGCCAGTGCGCAGCCGGCGCCGAGCCGGGAGGGGCTGCCGTGCGTGCGGTGTGGCCGTTCCCAGGGAGGGACTCACCTGTCGGTCTCGACGGGCTGCAAGCTCGGCAGGCGGGCTGGCGACTCGGCAGGCTGCTCCATGGCGGCGGCGGCGGTCACCTACTGCCGAGGGCGGCAGTCGGCGCCGCGGCGCGCCGCCCCGACGCCGCCAGGTGGCGCTCGGCTCCGCGCCGGCCGCCCTCGGGCGCCCTGCAGCCGCGGCCCCCTCCCTCCCCTTGGTCGTGCACGGTCGGCCCTGGCCAGATGCCGCGCCGATAGCGGGCCGATGCCGAGCTGCGGTCAGCGGCGGCTCAGGCGGCCGGTGAGGGAGCGGCCCCGGCACCCTCCCTCTCCGCCATCCCCTCATGAGGGCTCGGAGTTCCATGTAGGGACATAATGGAGCTCTGTGATCCCGGCACTAGTACGAAGAAAGTTTGTCACTCAGTGTCTCCCCTGCTGTACCATTACAAGCCTGGTGTAGTCTAATCATTTCCGGAACATAGGGAGAGACTGAGATACTTTCCCTTTCTCCCATCGGAACGGTCCTGTGTTAGAATTGCCAAGACCAGAGCGGAGATAACTTTCCTACCCGAGTTTCCCGTAGTGACCTTAGTATGGATTGTACAGCCCAGTCCCGTCCAGGAACCGCATGGGAGGAACTTCCTTTCCAGCTGTCATAACTCGAAGTGCACATCTTGAACCGCTTGCTGATCTTCAGAACAAGAGCGTAGAAGGGTGTGTCAGTTCCACATAAAACGTTTTATAGTCCACTTATTTCCAGAATGACGACGGATCAAGGTCTGTCTTCAGTTTCATCTTGAACATGATAAAGCCTCTTGGCTAGTAGAGAGATGAGCCGATAAGTCACCTACCCACTCCAATGAGTCATCGTTGAATGCGGGCAGGCCTATTCCAGCGCTAACTGCGAAGGCCCGACATAGAGAAAGAAGTGGACGGTCCAGCCATTGATTCGATGTTTGTTTGTTTGTTTGTTTGTTTGTTTGTTGGGGGTTAGGGTCGCACCGACTGCGAGGTCATTTTGCGCCCAACCATTGATTCGATGACGATCTAATAATGAAGATGGTGATAAGTGATAATTTCCCATGAAAAACTGGGCTTCACTTTGATTAGGATTATGTCGTTTGGTGTCCATGAGAGGAGCATTGTGAAAAATAGGTATACCTACGTTTATAACAGACTCAATGAACTTTTTTTCGAAAGCATGAAAAAGCAAAAGACTGATGTAGGCCTTGGTATACCTAAATGTTATTAGTTTTGGTCATGGTGAGCCTTTGGCCATGGTCAAGTTACAAAGCACAAAAAGACCTCTACTTGGCCCACTTTGAGATACACCCCAGCAGCTGTTGAACCCAACATCGAACACCAGCGTCTAGCATGTGATTATGTGAGAGCGGTCATCTCGAGTGAGATGATATCGACCGTCTCACGCTGTCATGTACTGCCCAGCAAAGCTATCAGCAGATCTGCTGACAATTAACTTGGCAGCGGCGACACATGACAAGTTAATAATGCATAAGAACTCGCCTCGACGAGCGTTTCGTGCGTGAAAAAAGACTTCTGTCGATAAGGGGAAGTTCATGCCGTTAACTATTGTGTCGGCTGAAGACAGCGAAATGGATCGGTACATGATACCACATATTTGCTATGCGCAGTGTGCACTGCCTGTTGATTTGCCACTGATGCTGTAGCATGTCGCGGCTTCAACGCCGATTTATTCGTAAAGCTACCTGCGGTGTTAGCATAGTGTGTTAAATCGCAGTCTCCGTGAAGAAGCCAAGCAGCTAGCGTCTTGTGCCTCGTTGCAGTCCCCACGCTCCGCGCCGGCGTTCTGCCCGACTTTACAGTAAAAAAGAGAGACAAAAGGAAACTGGCAATAAGTATTGAACGTTTCCCAGTTTCCAATGACATTTGGGTTGCATAATCGACACCGGTTTTGATGTTCATATGCGTTGAACAGTCTGTATTTACGATGTTATCGCTGTGTATCCTACGGCAAGTGCTAACGTGGATATTCAGCCTGTCTCTCGGTGGTTAGCGTTGCATGTAGTACTGCACTCGCAATGCGGCTTTGTTCTATTACAGGGGTGCGGCGCTGTGCGTGCTACTGACCTGTAAGCCCTTCTTTGTCTGTGGGATGCGCTATTACGGCCTTCACGAGTGCCAACAGTGAGTCGAGGTACTTCGCTGCATGTGCAATTGTGCACAGAGCAGTGTGCAGTTGGGTGGGTCCTACCGGTAGAGTATTGCACTCTCCACTTAGGTACTACTCGTGAGTCGTGTTATTGTGCTATACCTAGCTGCCGTCGCCAGGCCATTAACACTTTAGACACTCACAGTCAACGTTATCAACTAAAATGTTACGCGAGTTAGCCGTCTATTATATAGCCAATGCCACCGATCAAGCTTCTGGCCTATGAGTGAATGATCGTTTTATATCTTGGTTGGTCACTAGTTTTTAGATTTTCGTCCATGTTTGGGGATAGTTGTGAGGTAACCAAACGCAGAACAAACAATGCTGCAATACGACACTTATGTAAGCATTCAAAATTCAGGAATTCATCTCAGCGAGGGTAGTTAAAGGGCACCCTTGCACGGTAGCGTGCACGGGTCAGGTTCTCTACAAGTACTCCAGCTTGCAGGCCAGGCGATCCAGCGGCCTTCACGCGGTATTGTTATCGTTGCATGCGCAAATGCATCACATTCCGGAGTGTTAGTAAAGACAGAGCGCATCAGCGATTTCCACGGCACATCCGAACACGCAGTGATCGAAAGTTTACAGCAGGATTTGTTAGTGCAGCATACGTCATTGAAATTTCACGCGTGCAGTCCTGCGATAATAAATGACAATGGTGATTATCAAGCAGATAGCTACCGTTGTTCCCATCCTATCAACATTGTGCGCATCTCACTGCACATCCATAAAACTCATTAGGCGATAATGAAGGGCGTTGGCCGCTTTCATTTGTCTCTCCTGCCGAGTTCTCTCTCCACGGATACGATTTATCACCAGACGAAAACCACCAGCACCAAAAAGGGGCGTATATTGTCGACAATTATGATGCATGGCAATGAGCGGAGTACTGCAGTAATCGCGCGGCGTCTGAGCGAACCACTCCGGCCCTGCACGGCTTGTGGACATAGCGGAGCGGACGGCGGGCGGATAGCGATGGGGGAGGAGGGTACCCTCACAGGAGCACCGTCCTGAGACCCCCAGACTCCGCGGACGGGTCGGAAGGACGGTGCCCGTAAATAAACGGAGCTCCTCACCACATCTGCACCCATCAGACAGCCAGACTGTCGCGATGGTACAGGGAGCCTTAGAGTACCATGCTCAGTGGCACTATCGCTGGGTACTTGACCATAGCGGTACACGGCATGTAATTGCACAGGTGTTGTGGCACCGCACACGGTGGTACGTTAAACCCATAGACCAACTGGTATCCAGCCCCCAGACATTAGACGGCTCACTGAAGCGACGACACAATAGCTGCAGTTATCGCTCGCAGATGACAGCTTCAACACTGACGCATCGACGCAGCATCGCACTGAAAAAGTCCCTTTCTTAGCCGCAGGGCCCGGGCGAGGTAAATTAGGTCGTTCCTACAAACATGGCACCGTGCTGCCTAGCATCATGGATTGCCGTGCTACCATCCACTCTACCTTTAGATGCTGTACAAATGATGAGATCACATCGACCGCAAAGAGACTCATAACACCTCCACTAACATACACATTATCCTAGACAAAAATGGCCAGTCACCGAGATAGTGTTGCAGGAACTAACAATGTCGCTGACAGAGTTAAGGTGGTGTGGTTACGATTAAATTTGACATAAATTTTTAACCAAATGACCAACAATATCTCAACATCATTGTGCCACACACATATAGGCAAGCAGTGCAATAAACTTAAACTCACATTGACCAATGACGTACTAAACCTAATGACTGATAACAACTGCCAGGCAATAACTACACCGTACCTGCATTGATATTAAAGTACTACCAGTACACACATTATGACCTGGGTAAGCAAATGTATATCGTAGCTGTTTAGCAATATAATAAACGCTGATACATTAAAGGAAATAGTTCACTTTTTAACATGGGTTTTGAACTGGAATAGCAGTTCCGTAGCTTGGGCTGAGACGAGCATAAATCAGGAGCTTTTACAGCCCAACGATCACCCTAGGCAAAGATATTCTATTTCTCGTCCCGAAAAAGGTGTATTGCGTTGAGGATGTGTGCCTTGCATATATTCGCATCCAGTACGAAAAGAGCATGGGTCCCGAAAATTCTTCAGAAACTAGTGAAATTATCTACGAGAACTCAAGAGAAATTCTCGTACTGATCAATAAGGACATTCAGCAGCAGCAGATCGCCCAAATGCCGGTGGCCGCGATAATTTCTCTAGTTTCTGAAGAATTTTCGGAACCCATGCTCTTTTCATACTGGATCGCCTGTGCCTTACAGAAACTGAAAAGTTCTTCTTATATCAAAATATAGAAAATAATCTTTTGTTATAAATAGGTTTTATTTTCTTTGCTGATCATTTTGAACATAAAAAATCATAAATCCATTGCAAAAAAAATAATTTCGTGAAAGTGAACTATTTCCTTTAAAATAAGCGAATATCACCGGTATCTGCACTTAAATATATCTGTATATACAATATATCTGTATGTAGATGTAACTTGAATGTGTGTAAAAAATATAAAACAAATCCCAACACTAACAGAAACACCACAGCCTAGTTCCGAAACCTGGAAGGTCTTAATAGGGTTCCAATGGCTCCAATGTACACAAGTCCCGTATTTTTATGAACTTGAAAAGTGACTATACGAATGAATGCATGAATGTCAATGAGTTTGCAAAGTCAAGTCAAAAGTTTCAGACAATAAAACTTCTTATTTGTGGCAGACAACCAGCTCCACCTAGCTGCAGCATTCTCGACAATGCAGCGTTCGCGCCACATCCATTGACACTATTGTGCGTAACGACGCGTGGAAGCCTACAGAGTACACAAATCACCGGACAGGTGCTAGACCAGCGAACTATTTGATTCAACAGTCAGATCCGTTTACTGGCGTCAGAAGACTGAGTGAGACCGGATCCACCTGCGCCAGAACATTAGAATCCCGGTCAGCTCAAATTATGAAGGTAAGGTCGCATTAGACCAATTGAAGGCCAGGTTAGGTCAGTCTTATCAAAGGTCAGGTCAAATTAGATCAAAGGTCAGATTAGGTGTCAATGCAAGGTGCCTACCTAGCCAGAACCCCGACAAGAGCCGACAGTTGACCGTGTAATACCGGGGAATGGTATAAGGTCGATCAGTAAAGAGGGTAAAAGACCCAGCTCAAACACTCAGAAATGAGAAATGATGACGAGGATCAACAATCTACGAGTACAATCTAATGTGCGTGAACTGAAGCTCCCCTATATCACCAAAATACTGGCCGCCAGCCTCCTAACGCCCACATGACACACACTACTGATAATCAGAAGACACTGACAGCACAGGAACAATAAAAAATAAGTTCGAAGTACGACTATAACCTGATTAAGTCTGAGGAAGAGCAGAGGACGTAGCACAGTTAGATAGCTGAGCAGTCCGGAACACGAGCTCACAATGACGTGTGACCTCTACGCAGTTTGTCTCTGAGGTAGGCACCGCTCTTCGGGCGGAGCGAAGCGGGGTAGCGATCACAACACCGCAGAGTAAATCTTCAGATCCATCACCCGCGGCAGCCACGGCAAGTCCGACCCACCAAAACAGGTCGGATCAGGTCACACTACACCAGATCAGGTCAGGTCATTCTCAGTTCAACTGATCGGATCAGCTCGACGGTGCAGTCTGTGGTTCCACCAGCAGGGGGCGCCGGCGGGCGTTGTGCAGAGGGAGCCTCTTACTAATTGAACGACACACGTTCTATCCCTGGCTAAAACTCCTATGGGATTGCCTCGTTCACTCTGCGGGCGGACGGAGACCGACCACAATTTACTCCCTCTGGTCGGGCGAGTATCAGAGAGGCCGAGGAACCCTCACTCCGTCCCCGTTCCGACGATGACCAGCGGGACCAGCTCCTCTGATGAGGCTCCGTCGGCCGCCGTCCGCCCTCCGCGCCGTCACGTCCCCAGCACAGAGCCCTCGCCACCGCCGCCGGCGGCGCCCAGCAGCTCACTGTCACGGCGCAGCTGTTGCCGCAGCTCGTCCGGCAACAGGTAGAACGTGCCGTTCTCCACGTGCCACTGGATGTACGGGTTGTTGACCAGGTAGTGCTGCGAGTCGGCCGCGTCGTTCTGCAGCGCGTCAGCCGGCTCCGGCTCGGGGTGCCGGTACTCCCAGTCCTCGGCGTTGGTGCCAGATAGGAGAGTTGTGCGTGTTGAGTGGTCCCGCATCAGGCTGTACTGGGAGGAGGGCGCACAGCGCGGCAGGAGCGCGATGAACAGCGCGCAGCAGCCGGCGAGCAGACAGAGCACCTGGGTGGAAACGGCAGCGTCAGAGTCGCACGCCACGGTCAGGAAAGGCGCTTGTGAAGAGAACAAAACATCCTACAGAGGCATCAGCTTGTACCTCTCGCCGCACCACGCCATGAACAAACCACTAAATCAGTGCAGCTGGTAACAAATGCAGCTCGTACGCTGTAAAAAGTGCAGCAATAATTATTGTTATCATAAAGCATCGATATATCACCTAAGATAGTTTGTCTGTTTCGGTGTTTCGGTCTTTTCACGTAAATATGAAACAAGCCAGAGAAGATGCCTGATATATTGGCATTTCCTCCCCTACACGCCATAAAATCAAACCACTTATCTACAACATCCATACAACCCAGTGTTGAATAGGGACATTATGAATGGTTCACTGAGTGAATACACTTCCCAGTGCCCACCCGCCGAGGGGCTGACCAAACACCTTCACCAAGGCTCATTAAACCTGTCCCGTAAGCAAATGAGCCACCTGTGAGCGTCCCTTCGCCGCGGTATGAACAGCTACTGCCAGGACACTGCAAAAACGCCCGTGAAAAATCGCCCACTGACAGGTGCGCCCCGCGGGAGCCGCACCCATTGTTACCAAGCCACCGGCGGCTGCCCGGCGGACGCCACCCCGGCCCTGCCGGCGTGCCGAGGGACGGAGACGCCGGACCGAACCCTTTCATGACGGAACGCCCCAGGCGGCGGCAGCGGTAGCGGCAGCGCAGGACCGCTCCTGCCGCCGCAGTATGGGCGGCTAGTGCAAAGGTCTTTGAGACTCAACCCTTTCGCAGTTGGAGGTGTGATAAGTGGGTGTTAATTTCATACTCGGGTCGGCCGGCACGTGTCAGGGAGTGATGGAGACGGTCTGTGGTAGACGATGACAGTCCAATTAGTCGCCGGGTAAACGGCGCCAATAGACGCACATAACCCGTCCGCGCCGGCCGGGGACCGGTATGACCGGCACGCCACGCACCGCGCACCCACCGTATACCAAGGGAGGGGGGGGGGGGGATGTAACCATCCCCAGCGCGGACGGACCGCGCGGCGGACCAGGTGGCAACAATAAGGTGAATATTTACAAGGGGCGAGCGCCGAGCAGTATCTGGTGGCCGTGGAATGCAACGATACTGGGTTCAGATTTAAGATAGGGGAGACTAATACACAGAGGGGCACAAATGACTCAAGCCAACGATGCAATCAATAAATGTCGTTAAGATTGGTGTCCATGCAGGCTGCAATATGTGGGAGTAGATATCTAAATTCAACTCGACTTGCAATGAGGATGAAAGACGGTACTGCACCCTGGACTATCTGTCGGAATATCGCCCTGAGCCACGAGTACTCACGGCGGCAGCGGTAGTCCAGCTACGTGTCCAGGCCGAGAGGTGCGGGTACTGGTACGTGTACTGGTACACCTGGTGGAACAGCAATACGGCGGCCGTGCCGTGTACCGCCGACAACAGGCCGAACAGCCAGGTGTGCTGGAAGGGCGGAACAGAAAGATCAGTGGTTTGATAATGATGAGTCCTTCCGTGACCTAGGTCGGGTCACAGAGTTGCGCTAGACTAATCATGGCATCAGGCAGGGTACGGCCAAATAAAACAAGCTTCTCGTCAATTAATGGTTGGTTGATTGGTGTAGTTAAGTACGTTTTTTCATTGCCCGAAAACGCTGCTCAGGCAGCCTATGGTTACAAGACAATAGAAAATGAGATCAACATCACGCAAATTCACCCTCCCGATCTCGGCGTGCGCCGTATCGCTGCTCACTGTGTTCCTGTAGACAAATACTTCCCCACCATGACCCACCCCGCCAACCCCCGACGGCGACACGTGGCCACCACTGAGCATGACTGGGCGGCTTTGCCGTGCCCTTGCCCCGCCGCCAATCGAACTGATATCGGCCGGTCGGTCACGACTGGACGGCAATTAATGACCTCTGGGTGTCCCGGCCGGCGCCAGTCACCTCAGCTGTGGCCGCTGGGTAGCCGTGGTTCGATACAATATCGACGGGTAGGCAATGAGCAATGGGTCGGCGCCACATGGAGAAGGGATGGCTCCTTATGACAAGAAAAGGAAAATTGTTATAAAAAATAATTGAAGACAAGACTTACTTTACAGAATGCTGAAACGGCGCTGCTTCTTCAGAAAAGAGTGACAACGATTACATTGCTAGTTCTCAGCAACGGCTGAGCCGTTTCAGTGGCACCCCGTCCGTCGTTTCCATCTTCAGGATACTGAAATCCTTCTCCTCCACGCCGCAACCCTCACTCCGGGCTGGACAGGCACCTTTATCTCATGCGGGCTGCTCCCTTCGAGCGGTACCGCTGCTCCCGAGGGAGCACATCCGTAGCCGGGTGCAGTGAGTACCTTGGGGCTGGTCGGCTTGTCCTTCGGGGCGGGCTCAGCCCCGGTGGCTAGGGTGCCTGCCCAGACCAAAAGTCATTGGTCTATTGGTCCCCTAATTCCTATCATCCTCCCGGCTCTGAAATGGTCTAATTGGACCGAAAGGGCCTACACCGAACAAAACAAACAAGAACAAACACAGGCCGTTTCCGTAAACAAGGACTTCAGCTATACAAATATCCAGCCGTTAAATGATGCTACACGACTCAGACACGCTGGTAATCAAGCACGATCAACGGCACACTTCCAGTCTACCACCCGCGCCCACGCATCCCGACCCCCACTCACTCACCAGTAGTGACCAGTTGATGAGCAGACAGTACTGGATCCGCGTGATGTGTACGAACAGCATCAGCATCGTCCACAGGGCGCAGAACACGCAGCTGAAGATGGCCAGCCGCGTGTGACCGGCGTGGGGCAGCAGGAGCGGCGAGCCGCGAGCAGGGTCGCCGCTGACGCCGATACTGACTAGACAGCAAACGCACAGCGCCTGGGGGCGGAGAGGAAAGAACAGTGGTCAGTGAAGATAACAAGGCACGCATGCTCATTGCTTATCGAATGAGCTGAGAGCGCCATAAGGGCAGCGTTTGTGATGTCCTGAGAAGCTTGACCGCTGAAAAACGACTTGAAACCTCATGAGGGCAGCAGTGAAGCCGAGAGGTCAGGACTGCGGATATAAGGTGCCAAATAGCATCTGAGGACTAGGTTTGTGGTAATCTTTAGACGGTCAGTTGGCCGATGATGCCATTATGCACTGTTTCCCGCTGCATGACCCAGCCTCTGACTTAGCCCAGTCTCAATGACTTGAGTCTCCGACTAGCTTCTGGCAGGTATTCCGGGCTCGACGACCGGCTAAAGCCTCGAGTCTGACTCCATTTGACTGCAGTGCCTATCTCTCCTCCCAACTCTGAAGAAGGTATTCCACACGACTCCCCTACTCACGATGAGCAGCAGCTCGCCGAGTCCGAGCGGCGACAGCAGCAGCTCGGGCCGCCAGCTGCAGACGATGCCCAGCGTGCGCGGATCGACGGCAGCTGCCGCCGGCTGCTGCAGCTGGTGTGAGTCCCACGTGTCCTGCGTCATACGGCTGCCCGTCCGCTGCATCTCCATACATTCACCCGTCTGAGAACGGTACGACCGACAAGTCAGACAGGTAGACGGGGAACAATTAGTCGCCGCGCGTCGGCAGAAAATTTTACTTTCGATTATGGTTTAGCGGCCCCGTGGTGTAACGGTTAGCACTCAGGACTCTGAATCCTGCGATCCGAGTTCAAATCTCGGCGGGACCTGTGGTTTTGACCCCATTTGACCGAGAAGGGGCGTTGCAGAATGGGCGTTTTCGATGGGATAGAGGGGTAGGCAACAAACTGTGGGTATGGATGACATGGTCAATTGAAATTATCCAGCTAAATGCGAGTCAATGGATTGTTGAAGGAAGAAAAATACCAAACCAACCAATCAGCATCAATGCAAACTCTGACGTCAATTTAAAAATGACTTCCCAGTGAACTAATACATATTTTCTACGTACTAAAAAATAATTGAGCGAGACCACTGCAGAGTAGGTGATAGGTACCCGTGCGGCGCTCGGTCGCCGACTCACCTCCCCGAAGAGCGTGATCTCGTCGAGGAGGTCCTGGATCTCATCCACGCCGCCACAGAGATCCGACACGGAGATGAGCTCCCGCCGGATACGGCTCTCACACTCACTGGCCGAGTCGAGGCCCGAGATTCGTGACCGGGTCTGCGCCGAGACGCTGTCCGACGCCATTTTCTTTTGGTCGACTGTCGGATTACCTGAGTGGGGAGAAGTGGAGTGGATGTCAGAGATGGGCACCGGTCGGGGTCGCAAGGTAATGGTGAGGGTCTTCGGTAGGTCACAGCTGTTAGCTGTCGGCCGAGTGATAGGTAAGTTGTACTAATCAATGGGAAATGGCTAGTAGGTAGCAATATCTATCTTTGGTGAGGAAAGTCCATGTCTTCTTCCAGAGCCTAAACAACCTTGATTCTTGATTTTTGATTCTTGATTCATGGGAGCAGAATAAAGCCAACGCTGAAATGGATCCTCGAGTCAATACTGGATGCAGAGCACAAAATCACTTCACTGCAAACTGCAAAGGCACGGCACAGCCCTGAGAAATGAGAAATGAGGCGCCTGAGCCTGCGTGGCTCTTGCGGCACCTTCATACCTGAGCGTGGCGTGCGAACAGGGCCGGCCTGGTGGTGCGGGCTGTGCCGATACCGAGCCTAGGACGCTGCCGGCCTTCCTGATCCCTCATGGGCCGGCCTCAGGCAACCCGCAGCGGATGGCAGGCGGCACGTGAACTTTTACAGCAGTGACGGTCACCAGCCGGCCCACTCTGGAAGGATACGATGGTCAAACGGGCTGGAGTCAAACGGGCTGGAGACAAACGGGTCATTATCTTTTCGGACAGTAAGGGTCTGTTCCAGTCGCACTTCCTAACACCTCTAAACTCCTCTAAGAGCAAGATAGAGGAGGTTGGAGCAGGGCCCTCCTTGGCTTTGTAGGGGCTAGAGCTGCTACTGAAACAGGGAAGCAATCTTGGAGGAGTCTAGAGGTGTTAGGAAAGGCGACTGGGACAGACCCAGTCAGCACGTTTGTTTGTTTGTTTTGTTAGGTTAGGCCCTTTCGGTCGACAAGACCATTGCAGAGCCGGAAGGATGATAGGAATCAGGGGGAGACATTGGTCTGGGCAGGCACCCTAGTGAGTCGCCGGGGCTGAGCCCGTCCAGAGGACAGGCCACCCAGCCCCAAGGCACTCACTGCACCCGGCTACGGGGTGCGCTCCCTCAGGAGCAGCGGTGCCGCTCCAAGGGAGCAGCCCGCATGAGATAACGTTGCCTGTCCAGCCCGGAGGGGGGTTGTGGCGTGGAGGAGAAGGATTTCAGTATCCTGAGGATAGAAGCACGGATAGGTCGAGTCAGCACGGCGCGGCAGAGGTGGACACTTTGTGCCGAGTTGGGGTAGCACGGGCGCAGCAAACTCGACGCCGCCCTAGCGGTGACCTTGACATCCGGCCTCCGCCGTCTGTTGCGGCTCCAAAGCCAAGCCGGCGTGGAATTGGGGAAGTTCGTGGTACGCCAACTTGGCACAATTTTCCACCCCTACTCAGCCATCTGACTCTAAAGGGGTGACTGTCACATGACACACCTGTACCTATACTGCAGTAACTGAACTAATTCCGCTAAGTAGGAGCGTATGTATCTACTCAACTGACACCACAGGATCAATAAATCGTAGGTAATGGAGAGATCTCGTGTCTTGTGATCCATAGCAGCGTCGTTCTCAGAGTATATACAAAGCGTCGTTCTAAGGCGCATTGCGTGACCAGTACTGCCGCTCACGGCACATATTCCGAAAACCTCCCAACAATCCATTAGCGAACAGTACCAGCACACAGACCTGCGTCGCATAACAAACATGATGCCTTGAAATTTGAATACTCTCTAAAAAAAATTCTCAAGTGCATAGTTGAATAAATACAGGGATGTTTAATGACGTGCACATCTACATAGTAGCTGCAAAAAGCCGTAATCGCCACGCCATTTGTGGAAGGCTTTTGGTGTCAATACATACATACATACATACATACATGGTACATACATGCATACATACATACATACATACATACATACATACATATATACATACATACATTATACATACATACAAAATAGTGCTCCCGTATAGGGGTAAGCATCGTTTAGTTGTGGAGCCTTACCCTAGCCCGCGCAAACACGCATCGATCGAAGCGGGGAAAGGCGGGAGCTCTTACTTGCTCTTACCTAGCACTAGCACCATCCTAGGTTTCTAGGCACCGGTAGCGACAAGGGCTAGAGCTAAGTGACGTTAAAGCATCGAATAAAATTACGAAAGTAAAACGGCCATTGGCTAGATTATATCATAGTGCGTCACCGAAGGTCAAATTTTCCTTATATTCTGACATTGATACTAATCACTTTAGCCATAGCTCGTTATCGAATAGTTCAAGTTACAAAAAGCTTTTGATAAATCACGAACAATATATACCTATTTACGTCAATGGTATTGAAGAGAAATTGAGACGTTTTTGGTCTTTCAGACTTGGTACAATAGTTGTTTGCTTCTTGTTATGCTTTACGTTTCTGTCATTGAATGCGCCCGATAATGTAGGCATTGGTTTACATGAAATGCGACACATGAAAGTGGTCAATTTATCAAACCAAGGTCATGACCTCTGACCTCACAGCTGGACCGAAGGCTGCCTTTTGTGCTAACATTTGATTTATCAGTCGACCTGTACTGTAGTATCGACGACGACAAACAAAATTGAAATGACTTGTTTGCTTTGATTATTTGATCGTCGATAATAACATTTTTAGGAGAAAAGTTGCTTTTATTTTGTCCTCATTTGAATCAGAAATCGAGCTTCAAATATGCCATTTTTCACGCAATACTGTTGACCAACTTGAGCTCGGCTCTCAAGTCTCAGACACGTTATGTTGGTTGGTAGTAAATGGGAAAAAAGAGCATGTCAAGTCACATTTTCAAGGCGATAACTTTATGCTGTATTTCGATGCTTACCATGAATGCGCTTGTAATTCCAACACGGCACGGCACAAAGCACCAGGACAACGCGACCCGTGTCGATCCATTCCGTAAATTTCCCAAACTTCCGGCGCCTGCCCGTCTTCTGCTGAAAAGGCGCTGACCTCGAATCAGCTGAGCGGCCCATCGATTTTCGAAGTTTATTTCTTACATCCAGTAAAGCAAATTAATTTGTGTTTGTTTGCATTCTTAGTTTTGTTTATAAAGTCCTCTACACAATTCACAATTATTTCATTGATAAAAATAATAATAACTTTTATTAGTATTAAACTAAAAGCTCTTGAGTTTATGTTTTCTAGGCGGTTATGGCGCAAAAGTTTCGAAACTGAGCTACGCCATTTCCCGTCGTCTTTTCATTTTCTGCGCGTTGTATGAGTAGTTACGAGTGGAGTTTTGCTGGAATTTTGTGGTGTGTGTGTGTCGAAAGTTATTTTTATAGGAAAGCCAATCGATTTAGTATCCAATGCATAAGTCTTGGCTGGTCTTAGTATATTAAATGTCTGATTCTCACATTTTGTCATTTTCTCATTTTTCATCTTGATCTTGTATGCATTTTTGATTTTTTAATTTTCATCCACTTAAAGTTTAAGTAGGTACATCTATTCTTGATTGTAACATTTTAATATCTCCCTCAGGCAAAACGTCACTTTATTTGTAACTGTCTTTCGGACATTTGTGATATTTCTCTGACAGTCATTTTTGTTCTGGCCCTCTGGGAATCTATGGAATTGGATTCAAGGACAATTCCAATTCGTACTTTGAATCCGTGGGTATTTTTCGCCGCACATTATTAATGCTCTTACTTCCATGGGGGGAACGTAACAAATTAGCATGTTCACATTGAACTTTGCTAGTGTTTCCATGGAAACCAAAAAGGGTAATATTTGCAGCCTTAAACAGTAAGCTGTGAAACAAGGCTCTGCTCTAAGGCCTGATATTACAAAAGTAATATTTGTATTATAAAAATGATGGATCAGGATTCCTTTAACTGGCCAATTGCTCCCGAAGCTGTTGCGCAAGCCCTGGTTTTCAAAGTTTTGATAGCAGTTTTCCAATTTTCCCTTGCCTCTACTCTGGCAGTTGGCACATTTTGTACATGTCACTTGCATAAACAAATGAGCTTGGCAGATCTCTGTTTGCTGACCATTTTTATCAGCATGACACCATCTTGGTGGTGTTTCTTGTCTTCTCATTAGCAAATTCAGGTGGTGTGTTTGGTTGACCAATGATTGGCAGAGAAATGCCAGCAAGTTACTTTCAGATAGGTACCTGCCAGAAAACTGGTAGCATTACCTAAGTATACTGTTAAAAACTAGCCCTAAATAGCACCCTGAATACTGGATAGGCTGTTTAGTGTTAAGTCATGATAAATTTTGGTTTGATGCCTGAGGTATATCAATGTCACAGTGCTCCTGTCTTTACAATCTGTGCCACTGCCCACAGCTGCCCAGTCAGGTCAAAGCACATATCCAGCCATGGCTGAAGTAGAGTTCAGCCCTCTGACACCATCCTGCTATCGAGCACTCACGGATAAGCTCTATGACAAGAGGAAGATTGCTGCTGCTGAAATTGAAAAGTAAGATATCTTCCAATTCGTTTAGCCCCATTGGATGAAAAGAAGATATGTTCCAAGTTTTTTAGCCCCATTAGATATTCAAGTCTGTTATTCATATTCTGTTGTCTTGTGTTATTGATGTTTAATGGGTGTATTCTCAAATCCAGAGCATGGTTTCATCAACTATTCATAACCCATCACAGGGGCAATACTCCATGACTGTCTTCTGACCTGACCCCACCTCTCTGGTTACCTCCCTCAGGATGGTGCGTGACTTTGTGATGGCCAACAACACAGCAATGCTGGACCAGCTGCTGGGTGTGTTCTGTGCCATGTGTGACTCACCCAACACCAACACGGTGAAAGGAGGACTGATGGGCGTCGGCGCCATGGCCGTGGCTATGGGACAGGTAAGATGTGATGGTGATGCCTCCTTTACATAGAAACATGATATTTTTTAAATCTAAAAATGCCATCACTTTTTCTCATCTTTGTAGTTTGTAGTATAAAGTATTTTTTCACTCGCCCTCTCAAAGCACTGTATTTCTGACTCAGCGTTTCATTTTTCAGCCTTTTTGGTGGCAAATCACACCTAATGAGGAAAATATTTGCATCCCTAAAATATGAATGACCGACTTTACTTCATCTCTGAAAAGAGTTTCATGTATTCCCAGCAGCCAGTTCACTTGTCACTTGACAGTTGATGCACCCACATCCTTTTGCTCCACACCCTGTCAAGATCCTGACATGAAATCCTGGTTTATCAGTTAGCATAAAAATTGGCATTACACCATTTTGCAAAAATACTGCAGTTATTTACTTTCTTTTTTTTCATCCTAGGATTTTTTCTTCATCGGCATACCCAACCAATATCCAATTTTAGAACACTGTTCTGACTTGTGGGGTAGTCTGGTGTCTGATGACAAGCATTTCGATGGAGGTGTTTATTTACAACTTCCAATGCTATCTGCTAGAGTGGTCCTCCAACTGCCAGTATTGTTGCACTCTTACCAACTTCTCTTAGAACTGCTACCGACCTTTTTCCGTTCCACGATGGCATCTTCACTAGCAAGTCAGCTATCATATCCCTTGTTAGTCTGACACGCGCTCCCCCTCTCCCACCACCCTCGTTTCAGCCGAGCGTTGTTCCATACGCAACGGCCATGATCGAGACAGTGCTGACATGTTTCGTCAAATCACACGAGTCCCGCCTGCGCTACTACGGCTGCGAGGCTCTGTACAACGTCTGCAAGTCCGTACGCAGCGCCACCATGCCCAGCTTCAACCGCGTCTGGTGCGCCATGGCTCAGCTGAAGACTGACCCGGACCTAAACGTGCGCTCCGGCGCCGACATGCTGGACCGACTTCTCAACGATCTAGTGGTGGAGTGTGTTCAGTTTGACCTGCCCTCACTGATGCCGCACGTGCGGGATCGTGTCTACACGGACGAGCGGATAGTGCGTCAGCTGATAATCAGCTGGCTGGGGCACCTGCACTCGCTGCCAGAGCACGACCTGCTACCATTTCTGCCGGAGCTGCTGGATGGCCTGTTCCGGATACTCTCCGATCCGGACGACACGCTGATGACCAGGTGGGCGTGGTCGCGAGCGTTTGATAGCTCTGATAGATAAATAGGATTGATCACCCTGGGTATACTGTGTCTAGTGACTGTGTGATTGTCAAATTTCTTTCTGGGTGGGCAAGATTCATTGATCCTGGTGCTCTATGTTAAATATTGTCAAACGTTTCGGAATACGGAGCAAATGAGTGGAGCTATGCGTGGATTTACACCGTGTCTATTTCAGCATTGTCGACCAATCCCAAAGATTGCCAAACCCACAGGCTAAACCGATCTGGATGCAAGTTGGTTGTTTTCCTAAAGGATCAGTGATCATGCTAATACGTCATCATGAAATATGTATTTTGTTCTTGTTTTTGTATTATTCCCGGCTATTTATCCGCACTGTGTTTTGCGTCCCCATCCCTACTAACCGGCGCTGTCTGTGTACTATGCCACCAGCTGTGAGAGCCTGCTGCAGCGTTTTCTGGACTCGATCCACAAGCGGTCGAACACGGTCAACTTTGCCGGCATGATCTCCGTGCTCATCACGCACATCCAGTCGCAGGATCCCAACACACAGGTGAGATCCAACATCACCAGTACTAAAGTCCAGTGAGTGAGTTTGAATGAATGAAGTGAAGTGAATGAATGAATGAATGAATGAATGAATGAATGAATGAATGAATGAATGAATGAATGAATGAATGAATGAATGAATGAATGAATGAATGAATGAATGAATGAATGAATGAATGAATGAATGGTTCAAAGAATACGTGTTAAACTACCTTACGTAATTATTGACATGTCGGAATTTGTGTAGAGGGCCTTCCCGCTTGTGAGCGATCCTCAACTCTTTTTCCGATCGATGAAGCGAAAAGGTCAGGTCCCGCCGAGATTTGAACTCGGATCGCAGGATTCAGAGTCCTGAGTGCTAACCGTTACACCACGGGGCCGTTATGGATTCGGCTGCGTACGATTAAAATCCAAACTAGAACTGGTTAATATGCACGCTCTTTTAGTGTTGACTGTAGAGGTGTCGTGCGCATGTGCAACTGTATACAGTGTATGGCTGTATACTACACATTGCCACTAACAGTTTGGTTGACTCACCGTTCCGTGCTTCTATCCTCAGGATACTGAAATCCTTCTCCTCCACGCCGCAACCCCCCTCCGGGCTGGACAGGCAACTTTATCTCATGCGGGCTGCTCCCTTGGAGCGGCACCGCTGCTCCCGAGGGATCGCACCCCGTAGCCGGGTGCAGTGAGTGCCTTGGGGCTGGGTGGCCTGTCCTCTGGACGGGCTCAGCCCCGGCGATTCACTAGGGTGCCTGCCCAGACCAATGTCTCCCCCTATATCCTATCATCCTCCCGGCTCTGAAATGGTCTCATTGGACCGAAAGGGCCTAACCCAACAAAAGAAAATTTGGTTGACTGGCAGCGATGGCTACCATCTCGCACATGCGGAGAGCTGTGCTAGCTGGGCGGGTGATACGCAAGAGGGTAGTTTGTTTGGCTATGTCAATGTCGTCGACGGCCATCATTTGAGCTGTCATCTCGTTCCTTGCACCGTCGACTTTCAACATCTAAGCTGCGTACTTGACTGCAGAAACGTCACGAGTCTATGCGTCGTTGGAGTACGGTGATTATCAAACCGCCCCATAAGCGCTAGTTGATAAACATTCCATGACGGCTCTACCTGACGCGTTGACCCAAAAGTGCGTCACGTGGTGCGTTGTGGATACATTTACCGTTCCCCAGAGGTTCCGGCCATAGCCTACGCTCCACATCGTGGGATCAGTGTTTACATTCGGCTGGTATGGACCTTGGGACATGGCAATATGGATGACTGGGGAGGGAGGTATGTCAGGCACGCGCCTCGCGTCACTAACCGCCGCCAGTGCCCAGTGCTCGCGCAGTGTTGACTTCATGGGCGCAGTTGAGACGTCACACTGAATGGGGAGTTTCTATTTAACCCAAATGAACGGACAGACCCCCGTATAATCGATCCACTGATAGCATCCAAGACCAGGAATCGATTGATTTGGATCGTCTGATTCTGTTTGACTCGGTCAAAGTCTTTTTCCCACAGACGTTGGTTATTTAATCGGTGAATTATGTAATTGAAACTGAAGGATGCCATTTGGAGGGTCATTTAGTTTTTTTTTGTATTGATAGTTTTATTTAGACAAAAGGCATGTCACTTGCCTAATTGCCTACTGCTGTTTGCCCTTACAACCTTTGTGAGGTCAATGGAGGGCCTTGTTATCGGTAATTGGGGGCTCATTGGCGTGGCGCTGTAAGGCCAGTTTTATTAGCATAAAAATCGTCGGCTGCCGACATTTTATTCCGTAGTCGCCCTAAAGCTAAACCAACAACGCGAAAAATAACCGCTGATGCGAAAACATCAGTCTGGCTGGCTGATGTTTTTTTTCACAGCAACGTTTCTTTGCGCGCCTGGCGATTCCGGGCGACGACTTCGGGCCAAAAATAGCCGCAGCCGCTTATTTTTATGTTGGTAAAAACTGGTCACTGGTAGGACCTATATTATGTAAATGCTGATATGCTTCCTGGTATGTGGCTGCGAGCACCATTGATAAGCTGTCGGTGGCCTGTCATCTGGATTTATCATTTATCTGGCCATGACATACCCAGGGGGCGTGGCGGACTCCTTGGGTCCCTTCGGGACAGTCAGTCGGTTCCACAGTACCCCAGGGTCACCCATTACGTGACCCGCCGTCGGAGTCGGTCGGACGATAAACTGGCCCGCAGTGTGCTGGATGTGAGGGGTGAATCTACTGTGGTGTGAGTGATAGGCCTGTGAGAGGTGTTCTGCCGTAACTTGAGGTAAGTAACAGGCCGTATTATGTTACGCTGTTACGCGTGCTTTGCAGCTATGGTGTGGTGTGGGGGACACTTTATATTCTGTTTTGGTGTGAGGCAGATGCTCTACGGAAATGTGTGTTTGTGTAACGGTCACTATTCTGCCACGTTGTGACTGTCAGTGTTCCACCACAATGTGACGAACGCTACAAGTCGCGCCGTGACAACAGAACAGCTGGATATTCTGCTGCGGTATGACAGACCACCGAATGACCATGACCGATAAATGTTTCCCCGAAGTGTGAACTTCTGTTCCACAGCCTGACTGTCTGTGTCTGTATGTCTGTTTGTCTGTTCACCTAGGTTTGTATGTTTGTCTGTCGCAGTGTGCGTGTCTCTACGTTTGTCTGTCTGTCTGCTTGTCTGCCAGCCCGTCCGTCTGTCTGTCTGTCTGTCTAAGTGTCCATGTGTAAATGTGTATGTATGTTTTGTAATCACAGTGGCGGAGGCGGCACCGAGCAGTAGTACGCCGACTGCGGTAGCGGTGGCAGCTGTCGACAAGTGGTGACTGATCACGCTCAGTGGTGCTGGTGAATTGACTGGTGCTAACACCGGGTGTAACCAGTGGTGACCGGTCAGAAGTGGTGTCACCGTTAGTGTCAAAGCGGTTGGTGTTGCTGGCGATCCAGTATTGCCGACGATGATATATTAGAACCATTAGTGACTAGACTAGACGGTAGTGTTGGTTTTAAAAGTGATTCAGTGCTGCTGGTGACCGTGAGGTGGTTGGATGAGAGGTTGCGTCACCGGTGACAGGAATTGATGTCAGTGGGACGATACAGGGTGGTGAGGACTGACTGCCGTGGCAGCTACGGTGAAGTGGACTGAGCGACTGGACTGAGTGGATAGACTGAGGGAGACTGAGTGAGTAGACTGAGCAAAGCATCCATGCGTGTCCATTTTTCTTACTGGTCTGTCGCGTACGGTCTGTTACGGCGTGAGTCCACTACTTGGTATGCCGTACCTGGTATGTCTTGAATGCCGTTGTGTAATGCTTGACATAATTGCTCGACCGTGTATTATCTTACTTTGATCCATCGTCAATGATCTAACTCTTGTGCTTTGTCTGCCGGCAGCGTGTAGCGGTGTGCTGGACCAAGGAGTTTGTGGCTCTGGCCGGCCCCAGCCTGCTGCCTCAGCTGGCTGGCATTCTGCTGGCCGTACTGCCCTGCCTGGCGCTCCAGGACGACACCAGACAGTGTCAGTAAGATTTGCAGACAGTGTGATTAATGCTCATAGAAGACAGTATGAGTGAGGTGCGCGGGTAGTCACAAATTACTGTCGTTTGACTACGATGAACTTTGAAGGCAGGCAGCGTGAAGAAGTTCTGCGGGCTGTCAACCGAGAAACCTGCGCAATAAGAGCTATTGAGCAATATTTTGTGCTCAGAAGCGCCACCATTGAGAACGTTAAATCTAAATTATTTATGAAAACCTGACATACCTATCGACTGGCTGTTTTATTGCGTAGTATGTGCCATTGCATGTGCATATTGCGACGGACTTCACGGTATTTGGCAATTCATGAAAATTGCTCGGCTGTCCCGCGAGCAGCTGTTATGCCTGTAATAACATTTTCCGCTTTGGTGTGTCCCACTTCCGCCATTGGAATATGACCATCGATCTGGTGCCACAGGTGCGGTCGGTGTCTGTGTATCTGTCTGTCTGTGTGTGTACTGTGTATGTGTCTGCTGCCTATGTATGTGCGATATCACGCCGGTCGGTCGTGTTTTTGCGTCATGTCAGTCAATTCGTTAGTTACGCATCATTCGTCGTGCTGCTGCTGCTCTCCTCAATCACAAGTGATTCTCTGTCGTCTGAAAACTTTTCCAGCCGTGTTCTTTGAGTTTTCACTATGCACCTGCCCAACTCCAGCCGAGTTTGTAAGCCGTTCTGACCTTTTAAGCCGTTCTGACCTTTTCTCTCTCCTGTCTACACCAGTGACTAAGGAGAACGCCAAGACCATCAGCTACAACCTGATGCAGCTGGTGCGGCCGGACACCAGCGTCGGCAATGCGCCGTTCTCGCCGCCGGCCGCCGCGGCGCCGGCGCCCGTGCAGACACCGCCGGCGAGCGGCATCAACCTGCAGGCGGTGGTCGAGGTGCTGACCAGCCGGCTAGCCGACACGCAGTCCGTGCCCACCAAGGTGGCCATCCTGAAATGGTTCCGACATCTGGAGGAGCAGCTGCCGGAGGCGGTGAGTGGGGATGGCGGCGACGGTTATATGTGATGGGACGGAAACTGTGTCGTGTGCATTCACCTCTATATAGTGTATTTAGGAGCTGTATTTGCTGTATTATTTGCCGCAATACCATAAACATATCGACAGGATTACTCGTAGCTAATTGCTGTACATATTTTGGTGAATATGCTGTATGATGCGATGTAACGTAGCATCAATTTGACGGTGTGTCGTACCGTATCTTACTTTGTTCGCGTTGAAGAGCCGGCCGCTTCCCCCTGCCCCTTGTCTCCCCGAACCCTAATCGACGCCCTCTCGCGCTCTGCTGCAGATGTACCAGCACCTGGACAGGGTGTTCCCAGTGCTGCTGACCAAGCTGTCCGACCCTGCCGACGAGGTGGTGGTGCTCAACATTCAGGTGCTGGCGGAAATCTGCTCCGCCAACCCGGCAGGTGAGGAGAATGTTTGAGGGGGCGGTATCGTGGCAGGGAGAACATTGAATTGCCATGAACGAAACGAACGGTCAACGTCAATATATATCATATACAGAGTATATTTGATGACATTGATGTTTTGCCGGGCAGTCCTATCCTTTTACCAGCATTTTCCTTCTTCTTTGCTTACCTTGGCTGTTTATCACCGACGATTCGATTTTTTTCCACCATGCCACCTTCTTATATCTACAGAGCCTTGCCTTTCCCCAATGATTCGGCCTGTCCATCCTACCTCTGACACAGAACCACTACCCTCTAGCCCGCCCCAGGACTCACTGACCCTGGTCCCGATATTTTGTCCCAATGTCCGCAGCGCCACAGGAGATCGTGGGCTCGCACTACTTCAACACGGTGATGGAGAGTCTGCTGGAGGTGTTTGAGAACAACCTCGGCCTGCTGGAAGACCGTGGACCCATCATCATCCGGTGGGTAGACATTAGCGGAGTGGGCAACACAAGGCAGACCTTTGGGCTGAAAGCTTTAGGGAGCGTTGCGCCGCTAAGCATTATTGCACAAAAAAACGTTTTGCTGCATTTCGTAGTTCATGTTCGTCTTTCACACCCGACTTTAAACATTGTGGGTGATTTTTCACCTATGATATTTAGTTTTATTTACAGTACAAGAGTGCTGTATTTTAGTTCGTTTTAACACAACTAGTTAATTAGTGTCTTGACGTTTATATTCTAACTAGTAACCCATGGTTGTTCTTCTGATTCGCGTTTTACACAATGGATTTGTGTATCTTGCGAGTGATGTTTTGTGTATTGTTTGGCTTTGCCCCCTCATGCAGCTGTATGGCTAATCCCCCGTTTGTTATTTACCCTTCTACAGGCAGCTGTGTATTCTGCTGAGCGCCGAGCAGATTTTCCGCACGCTGGCTACGTCGCTGCGCTCCAACACGAACCTGGACTTTGTGTCGCTGATGATCCGGCAGCTGAACACGATTCTGCTGACGTCGGCGGAGCTCTACGAGCTGCGCACCGAGCTGCGACTGCTCACCACTGAGGTAGGTGTCAGAACAGGATAGGCTAATCGTGGTCCAAGAGCGCAGCCCTAGACTGAGAGCAGCAGCCTCCTGTATGGCCAGTTCGAGCATGATCTCAGTATGGCTATCTTCTTGGACCGAATCGGTTTCAGAACAGCTAGTCTGAGCTTGGTCTTAACTCGCAACTGTTATTTTTGGTAAGGCTTGACGGTTGTTATATATTTTTACGTCGTCCTTTTATCTCATGTCTTCGCTCATGGCTGCACACTTGCGCTCGCGCTCGGTTGTTGTGAGTTGTGACTCTGTTCTCTATTCCCAGGAGAGCCGAGGGCTGTTCGTGGAGCTGTACCGTACCTGGTGTCTGAACCCGATCGCCACCATTTCACTCTGTCTGCTCACACAAAACTACGAGCACGCCCTCGCCGTGGTCAAGTGTCTGTATCCTTTGCCGACGGAAGATCGGGGAAAAGAGAAGGGTGAATGGGTGGGGGGAGGGGAGAGATCAGAGTGGGCTCAGTCATCAGGACGGATGGAGGGGGGGGGGGGGGTTTGGTCGGAACGGGCACTGTTTGTGTGATGATCCGATTGTGGGCACCTAGAGTGGGTTTAAGAACTCAGTGTATTTTATGCAAACGTTTAAGCTCAATGCTGTTTTCTGTTAAGCGATCGTAAAGCTGTTTCTGTCTCCTGTTTATGCACATGTTAATTTAAATGCCTCTTTTATCGCTGGATTTAATCCACAACAAAGTTTAAGCCCATTGTACATGCAATGTGGTACGATATTATAATTGTAACGCTAGTCCGACAGTGTTATAAAAATGAAGTTCTCGTGTTATCTCCCTGTATCTCTGTGTTAGAATCCTTAACCAGAGACCGTCGTCCAGTGGCAGTATAGAGGTCACGGTGGACTATCTGACGGAGCTGGACCGGCTGGTGCAGCTGCTAGAGACGCCCATCTTCACCTGTGAGTATACTGATACGGTAGGCGCCATCACCAGGGAGACCAAGTGTCACGCGTTTTATGGTGGATTTTTAGCGCAAAAGTGTTCGATGCATCTGAATGAGGTTTTGCTAGGAGTGAGGTGATGAACGTGAGAGCAATGCATTTGAATGGTCTATGCGTCGTGTAGTATATGCGTAGGTGGGTATTTTAACTTGAGAAGAACTTTAAAACGTGCGATGTAATAACGAGAATGCTACAATATATGATTTCATGATTCAGCTTCCATTGCATTCCAGACCGGGAGTTCTGTCTTCTAATACACCTTTTTGCGTTAGCCTTTGACCATTGGGCAAAACATTTGTACACATTCGCCATATAGGTGGCGCTACAAATGGTCGGTTGGACACAAAGAATCACCATTGTGCAAAACTATTCGGCGATCTTCCCCTATAACTCGACATTGGACAAATGGTTCAACATTGTGCAAAACAAATCGTCAATGGTCGAAACTATTCGTCATATGCCGAGCGAGCTCGCTCAATGCCGAATTCTGGCGAAGTGTTAAACGGATCGATCGTTTTGCGGATCGCTCATTTCAGTGTTCAATCTGTTTTGCTGAATGGCTGAAATGAAACACACCACGCCGGAATAGTTGTGCTCAATGCCGATTGTCGAAATGGCTCATCAAACAGTTATGGCGAATGGTTGAGTTCAAATGCAAAAAGGTGTAGTATCTGTCCGTGAGCTACCTGGTGCCCGACAGAGATCCTCCCGGTATAACACTGTTCGACCAGCTGACTGTGTGTGTTTCTCAGACCTTCGGCTGCAGCTGCTGGAGCCGTGGCTGTACCCGGAGCTGCTGGACACGCTGTACGGCCTGCTGATGACCCTGCCGCAGACCGAGGCCTTCACGGTGCTGCGCCGACGGCTTGACTGCGTGCCCAATCACCGGCGGCAGCAGGACAAGTAAGAGCAGTATGATAGCTGGATAGGTCTACGGTTTTAACTATGACAATGACATAAAGACAGGCTTGATTAATTGATAAAGACATATTACAGGATTATGAAATGAGCCGATATAGAGGCTGAGACGTTGGGATGAGGTGGCCACTATTCTGGTGCCGCAGTGGCTGAGGCCGTCCCTAAGGGCACACAATCGAGACGTTACTGTCACTTGTTAAGTTTATTGGAATTGTTCCACTTCTTTTCCGTTTTTCGATCATGATTCAGCCTGGGGCACTAGCGTAAGTGTATGATGATATGGACAGGAAGATGGTGAATTTATCTTAAGACAAATGACGACCATCTCTGCCTACAGGACACCGTCCGGGGTCCGACCACAACGCCCCAAGCTCCCTATGAGCGACGAGGAACTACTGGCCGAGTTTCACCGTGCCACCGAGAGGCGGCGCCAGTATCGCGAGCTCTCGCACACTTCCAACCTGCTCGACAAGCTCAGCTGATGACCCACCCGCACCGTACTGCGACGGTGCTCCAATACGCACACAGGTACGGGGCGAGGGTGGGGAGGGGTTTGGTACGGGGACTCAGGTGATTGTGGTGTCCTGTGAAGTCAGTGACCTCCACGCAGCGTAGCAGGATGTTATCTGGCTTCGCCAAGCGGATGGCTTACTTTTGCGTGTACACGCCAGTTTCTCTGTCTTCTCTCGTTCTTTTGTGCCTTTTCCTCCTCTGTCCTTCAATTTCCTATTCGTGTGTAGCACAGTGACCACCGTTTCTCTCACATCAAACCCTTTGTCTACCCACAGATCCCGCCGCGGCTCCGGACCAGCACACAGTTCTACCATCAATCTGTAGGTGGCGTAGCGTTCGACTTCGATCCCATCTCACCCAGGTGGGCCGGGGTGGGCTCACTGTCGCCTGAGCTGTGGGAGGTCACTTGCTCCTGAGGCTGAGGATATTTACATCCTTGTCTGAGGGGGCATTGGCGCCCTTGGCTAGAGAACGACATTGGCACCTGGGTGGAAAGAGGACTTAAGCACAAGCACGGCTTAGGATAAAGGCGCCCTCGACTAAGGGAGACGCTTGTGTCCTTAGCTGCGGACACTGCTACCCAGGGCCGAGGAGGGTCATGTCAACCACCACCACCAGTTTGCGGAAGCTGTATGTCACCATCTGGGCTCGTCGGGCCGGGGGGGGGGAGGGGGACCGCGGTCACTCTCGAGGGTTGTGGTGGATCAACTGAGTGTGTTTGCTTCTGTCTGCCTCGCGAGGCTGTTTAACCCGCCATTGAGCTTAGTATGTGGTGACTGCCGCCGCCACTTTTACCGAGGTAATTGTGTGGTTTGAGTCGCCATTACTGAGGTTTGGTGGCGAGGCTGCCTTGGCTGAAGCGACGATGAAAAAGAGCACTTTGTCTTACAGAGGTATGGTGTCTTTGTCATTGCTGAAGGTTCATGGTGGTTTGGGCTACCATTACTGACGACATTGGTGGTCTAACCCACCATTACGAAGGTTTGTGATGGTCGAAGCCAGTTGTGTTGAGTCCAGCGCCGCCCTGTGTGGGTCTGTCAGTATTAGACCAACGTATCCGCCTTGCATCGGTGCACACACCGTCAGGGCTAACGACTTCTAAGACTGTGTTAAACGGGCATCATTCCGTCGCCTCTATTTATTCCCATCTGGCTTGGACCTGTCCTATGTTGTACCGTATGTTTTAGTGGACATGATATACCATTTGGTGCTGTGTTGGCTTGCCTGTGTGCCTTGTTTACTCCTATGTTGGGTGTAAATGTTAATTGGGCTCGTGGCTGCCTTGTTTACCCCTATGTCGGACGTGAAGGTCGATGGGCCCGTGGCTGCCTTGTTTACCCCTATGTCTGGTGTGAGTGTCGATTGGGCCATGACTGGGTGGATCTCTGCGTCCCCAGTCTCTGTCAGAGGATGTTACCGGGCGGGCTATCTCCGTTGAGTGTTTGTACTCATGGAGTCTGTCTGTCTGTGTACCTGCACCCGCGCCCGCTGCCGCCTCTCGTTCACATGTGCTCCACACACAAAGGAGAGTCCCACGCGCCGACGGGTGCCTTGCTTAGTCATGCAGTGCTGATGCTGCATTTCCCAACGGCTGTGCAGCGTATTTTCAATGTAATCAAACATTTATCAGTGGAGTATTATGAGCATATGAGTGTGTGTCTTAGTGTGCTATGCTTTTACACATCGTATAATGTTAATCGTGAAATAATAAAGATACCAAGGTGAAAGACAGTCTGTTATTTGCTCATGACTTTCACCTAATGGTATGCATGTTCTCGTTATTTTGTTTTGGGAATGGAGACGTCTTTGATGCTTCGGATCTACCGTGGCTTTGGTTTGTATGCTGCCCAAGCGGTCGTTTTAGGTTGTTTCATATGATCGCAGTTACACGTGCTGAAACTGGTTTGAATGAATAGGATCACCGGATCAAATGATTAGCCTCGATTTCTACGATTATGCAAAGGACGACTTTTATAACACTGGCATCTGAGAACTTTGCTTTTCTATTCACCATTGTTATGTAATTAACATTATGCGTTGCTCTGGCTCTGGGTTTGGTGAAAATTAGTATGACAACTTATCAAAAGGAATCGGACAGCATGATGTTCTCAACAGCCGGGGGCTCATCAAGAAGAGCGAAGATTAAACGAACAGGGAAAGTCAATTAGAAAAGAAAAGATAGCGACACGTGAGTTCACCCGCTCATTCATGTTTTTCAGCCATTCGAGAATCTCCTGGGTATAAAAAAACTCGTTTGACTGTTCTCCGTGACTGAAATCAAGTAAGAAATCCTCCACACGGTCCTTGACATTGTAGGTGACCGAGTTCTCCACTTAGCCTTTACCATTGCACGTGTCAGTACCCCGGCCGTAAATATGTCGATAAATACGGCGAAAGGTGGTCACACGGCGGTCGGAGGTGTTCAAACACAAACTGAGCTCACCTTTGACCTGTGCCGCCCACTCACAGCAACAACAATTAGTGCATGATCTCATGCACTTTGGCCGTCGCGAAATAGTTACCTGCTCAATGGCGGCCAGGTGTTTGGTTCTAGGTAATAACTGATTAACGGATAAACTGACCCGGCTTATTTTCCCTGTGCCCTTTTAGGCATGTCGTGGAAAATGATACCTACATCCAGATGTGCCAAAGGAACTTTGTCGAGAAAAATATTCGTGCTTCCATTGTACCGTACGAAAAATGGCGTGATTAATTACATTTGTAGATTAATCTTTTGGCGTGCTCCTCTTCTGTCGCTCAGTCTCTCTGTTCCCAAGCTGTTTCTCTGACTCTAAGCTCAGACTTCTAAGACTTCTAAGCTTCATCTCTATTCTCTATTATCAGCTTCCACACGAGTCATATGATCGATCTTCACTCACACCTCTCCGGTCCCCCTAGCACCTTGAGTTCGAGGCAGTCAAGAGTTTCACTTCAATGTTAGGTCCAGCATGCGTGCGGGAAGTGATACCCTAAATACGGGCAGTAACTGAATAACCAAAGCGCGGCTACTGCATCACACATGAGATCGCCGTGATCCTGGAGACACGATTAGAATACCGTCGTCTCTGCTCGTAGCTAGTGCCGGTAACCCGCTTTTAGATTCGCACACATGGGCGGGGAGCGGCGCTTTTATCTTGAGGGGCGGGCAGCGTCCGTCGGCTCTTCTGGGAAGTGCTCATCAGTGCTGCTGCCCCGGCGGTGACAGAATTCGAACCGGTTCGGCGCGTAGGAGCTCCTGGCCATGACAGGCGGCGACCGAGCCTGCGAGCGGCGCCGGGCGCAGCTCGGTGTCAGTGTCGCCGCAGACGCCGGGGCGACAGGTCAGCGGCGCGCGCCGGTCACCAGCGGACGGCACTCTGACACTCTGCACCAGACGGCACTCTGACGGTCTGCGCCGAGACGGCACTCTGCGAGACACTCCGAGACAGTACCCGGCGGCGGGTGCTACTGCGGGAGCTCAGCGTCTCGAAAACAGAAACCAGGGTCGAAACTGAGCCAGAGTCACCGACAAGACACCGACTGGCGAAAGAACGAAGAAATAGAATACCCCGAAAGTCAGTTGATTGAGATTGAAAAAGAAGAAATTATCCAACTTTTTCTGGCGTCTGTACATTACTATTTTCTGTATTTCTTTCACCTTTAAGCCGGTCACTTCATTGCTCACTGACGAGCATTCCGGTGTGTCAATCGTGGGTGGCGTGATCTACCTCATCCTTTTCGCTGGGTCGTAGGTCACGGATCTCGAGCCTACCTTCACGATGTCACTGCTACCGCTGTTATTGGTCGTGACTCTTCTGTCGGTCGTCACCGAAGGACAGCGGCCCGGCACCGCCAGCCAGACTTGTCCCCTGGTCGCGACCCGTGAGGGCACCGTGCGGGGCGTCGTGTCCCGCGGCGCCTCCGGCCGTCGTTTCTTCAGTTTCCTGGGTATTCCGTACGCCCGGCCGCCGCTCGGTCCGCTCCGTTTTCAGCCACCTGAGCGCCACCCCGGCTGGAGTCAGACGAGAGACGCGGCGCGTTACGGCGCGCGCTGTCCTCAGTTTGACATGTTCGACAACTCGACACGTCAGGGCTCTGAAGACTGCCTGTTCGTGAACGTCCACACGCCGCGTGTACCGGTCGAGAGCGGCGAGAAGCGTGCCGGTCTGCCTGTCATGGTTTACATCCACGGCGGGGGTTTCTACTTCGGCGCCGGAGATAACGTCTACCTGGGGCCCGACTACCTGATGGACGAAAACGTTGTTCTGGTCACCTTCAACTACCGGCTGAACGTGTTCGGCTTTTTCACGACGCACGACGCCGCCGCGCCGGGCAACTACGGCCTGCTGGACCAGGTAATGCTGCTGCAGTGGGTGCGGGACAACATTGGCGCGTTCGGTGGAGACCCCAGATCGGTCACCATCTTCGGCCAGTCGGCTGGAGGCGCGAGCGTCTCGCTGCTCATGCTCAGCCCGCTCGCCACGGGGCTGTTCCACCGCGCCATCACCCAGTCGGGCGCCGCCACTGCTCTGTTCGCGGTGAACGGACGTGACAATGGTCTCGCCGCCCTTCTGGCCACCGAGCTCAACTGCACCGGCGCCACCCAGGCTGCCACGGTGGCGTGTCTGCGAGAGGTGAGCACTGACCAGCTGCTGGACGTGATGGCCGCTCTACAGCTGGACAAGGACAGCTTCCACCCGCGGGTGGACATCGAGTCGGAGCGGCCGCTGCTGCCGCAGGATCCGCACCTCCTGCTGACCACTGGAGCGTTCAACCAAGTCCCGTGGCTGAACGGTCTCACCGAGACAGAGGGAGCGCTGTTCCTACCGGTGGTCTTACCTAACGACCAGTACGCTGGTGGTGTCATGGCCGGCGTTCCACAGCTGTGGACGCTGTTCACCGGCCTGGACAGCATTTTCCCGGCCAAGCGAGGCATCCTGGACTGTGGCGCCGACCTGGCCGCCGAGACGGATGGCGTGCTCGAGTTCTATTCTGCTAATGGCACGGCCGGGCCGCCGTTCGGATCGCGCACATTGGCCGATGTCGTCAGCGACCGTGTGTTCGTCGTCGCCACCTCGGCGGAGATTCAACTGGCCTCCGCGCATACACCCGTCTACAAGTACGTCTTTGATCACACCGGCGAAGGGCGACTCTCGTTCGCTGAGCTGGTCAACTGGACGGTGGTGGAGAACGTGCAGTGGCCGGTCCCTGAGCTGGGCACCACCCACTGTGACGACCTGCGCTATCTGTTCAACGTGGTCGGTCAGCCCCTGGAGGCGCCCGGCTCGCCAGCACACACCATCATCCGCTTTATGGTCACCCTGTGGACCACCTTCGCGCGCACGGGCCGGCCCAGCTCTGACGTTCTACCGATGCCGGAGTGGCCGGCTTTCACGGAACAGAACCAACTGCACATGAGGCTCAACTCTGCTCCAGCGCTGGGGGAGAGGCTGTTCGAGGAGCGAGTCAACTTCTGGCAGACTGTGCAGGTCAACGAGCCCTGGCGTCACCCGGTGCTGAAAGACTGTGAACAGGCGAAGGCGGATGCGGCCCGCTGAGTTGCTACTCCCATCGTCCGTAATGTATGGGGTTTCGTCAGTTGTCATGGCAACCTCGCACGCACCCTATACGCCTGTCAATCTGAAGTACCGACATCATGATTCGTCAGTCTAAGCGTCCCGCTCTTTACGGCAGTGTCAGTGATCTGCTGCGGTCCTTATTGCGACGTTTAGCGTTCCATTAGCCTGAATATGTAAGATACATATAGTTGGCTGCTACGCGTAAAACGTTTCCTTTTGTCCCGGGAGACGTCAAAGGAATGCTGGCTGATGTCCTTGTTTTGCAACTTCTGGTGCCGTGTGCTGTGTTTCTCGCGGGACAGTGGTTGTTGTTTGGTAGATGCGGTACGCTACTTTTTGTTCGCTTGGACATTGTGTATTGGTACGGTTCGCTGTTTGTTGATATATTTAGTATCTACGGGTGTTATTCGTCGCTCTATTGCTGCCAGATTATACCTATTAAGCGTTGTCATTCCCAGACCCTTTCATCAGCTACTTTTGACTAGGTGATGCATGTAACGACCTACGCACGAATTGGAAAAATGAACGTGGATACTGAATACATACTTTGAGCTTCAACTGATTGTGTTCTTTTACAATGTTTTGAACAGGCTACATTATCCATTCTGTTACTTTCGTTCCATTACGGATTCCCTCGGGCCTCACCTTAGCTGTTAGCCTGCATGCTGCTCATAAACACACGTACGACGGTACGTATTTCGTCAGCTGCTGCCTGGCTTGGCCCGTGGGTCCCGATCAAATGGCGTTCAAAACAACGTAATGGGTGTCAACTATCAAGGGCCCTAGAATAAGTCCTTGAATTGTTTTTACGTGTGCGTGGTTTAGCTAAAGGTACGTCCTGTTGTTGGTTGTGTTCATTTCACCTTGGTGTTATGCCTGTCGCCAACTGGAAACGGTAGCAGGATATCCATGCGTGGAACATTCATATTGCATTAGTCGCTTTTGAGCTGGTGCTGCCGTTATTCTGTGGCCCGTTTGTTATTTTGCTTTGCTTTTAAACACTGTTTGCAGATCTTGTGGGATATATTTTTACTGAAGCCCTGGAGCTGCAATCTGCACCCGTCCTTGCTTATCGTGTTATTATAAGCAAGATGTGTGATTAGCAAAATTTAGCGTATGTTTAATGCCTCAATTTAAAGTAATTCACCATGTACTTTGACCTGAAGGTGACCTGTGAAGCCAATAGTGACACCAAGGCATTCACCCTCGCCGGCACGGGGGGTTGATGCACCCCCTAAGGTTTTTCGCGAATAACTCGCGTAAAAAGCGGCCGATTGCGACGAAACGTTCAGTACCCTCGCATTGATCCATTTTACACCTACCCTGAAAATTTCATGACCCTGACCCAAATGACCTTTGACCTGTGACCTCTTTTCAGAGACCATGTTTGGCCGGAATCGCGATTCGGCCAAATCGGCTCGCATTAGCCGCGCGTTTGCAAGCTTTTCGTGGTTTCAAACGTTCAAACATGTGATTTGATGTTGCTCCCATACATTAGGGTGGGTGTCAAGGTCACCTGAAGGTCAGGTCAGGTCATTGACCTTTGGTGACCTCGGGTGACCTAGGTTCACTTTTTCTAGTTTTACATGTTTCTAGGCTAGTTTTTGGAGCTAATTCGAATTTATCAACCATTCAAACATTTACGAAGTAGTTTTGGTGCCTTCGTAACATGTTACGAAGCTGTCAGAGGCGGTTGACACGTATTACGAATACCCGTCACAACCCCTACCGGTTGACCTGACCTGACCTGGCCCGACCTGGTCTAAATGCTTAAAGACATCATCTCTGATCAAAACTAACACGATATTCGTGATCAGCACCCCGGAAAACCACACAGCAGCCACACTTTACGACTTTCTAACAGGTCCCGATTTTCCCGGTTTTCGGGTCATTGACCTGACCCGGAAGGTCACCCAATGACCGAGGACCTTAAAATTGGGTATCATCGGCTTCCTCTCGTGACGGGCAACACGCTCGTTTTTTCCGCGAAGCTCTAGCTCGATCAGAGGCCAAACGCGAGGGGGGGTCGTACCAACCCCCCCCCCCCCTTGTGCCGTCGAAGGACGCAAAATGGCCTGTGCCGGCGAGGGTTAAAACTGCTTTGGCAGCGATACCTAAATATACCTGAGGTAGCAGCGCACTCATGTCTCATTCATATTTTTAACATCATCCAAAGTTCGGCCAAAGTTCGGACAATATCAGAGCTCATGGAGGGGCACTAAATAGGCCCAAAATAAGCTCCATATTGAAAGCGTGCGCCAAGTAGCCACCGTCAAAGTTTGATGCAAATATTGGATTCATGTACCGTTTCAAGTTTATTGATGAAACCTAATACTTTTGGTAGGTATGCCATTGACGCTCAGCATTGGAACGCTGTAATTAAAAAGGGCGAAATAGCCGTGTTCGGCATGCCACTATCTAACTCATCCAAAAACTATCTGAGTGGGTTAGTTGTTTCGTATTGGTAACCGACTTATATGGTAGTCCTGTGCTATCACAAAAGTAAGATATATCTGCATATACCATTGAAACAATAGTTAGCCTTGAGTTCGATATCAGTCCTTGCTTGATATAGTGTGATCGATATATCTTGAATGTGTCGTCATTTGTGCGTCACAGCTGAGATACTAATGACTAAATGCAATGAGACATTTGAAAAGATTGCCATGATAAACGTTTAGATAGATACCATCTGCTTTAGGAGGAAATGGAGGCCTCGCGCTTCTTGGAAAGTTCTTTTGTAAGGCGACTGTATGTAAAGTGGCAATCGGCGAGATTTCGGTAATCCACAAGGTGTTGCGCTGTTCGTTCTCCATCCCCTCCATATTCAGCTCCAATGATGGTGATCTTATTTGAAAAAGCTGCTTCATGCTTGATTGATGTGTGACAGTTTTAGCGCCAGTGAGATGCTTGGTGCTCGGCTACCAAGGACAGGACTTTTAAGCTCAAGCTTGGGGTCATGTGGCACTATAATAGAGCTGAAGGTCCACAGCCGATTGACAAACACATGTTTTTGGTTAAAGACGTTTGACATGGAAGCTTATAAGATGCTTGATTGACCTTCGCGCCTACAGGGGCAAAGGGGAATTTTGGCCCGCTACGCTGCCTCGTGGAACTATTCGATCGTTGTTTTTTGTTATTTTTTATATCGAGGACTATGACAAGAACACGATTGGATTTTGTATATTACATACGAATTACGAGTACAACACTTGTTTACCTAATCAGCACCTTGCTTGGTTTCGGAGACACATCTTTTTTAAACTGCTCGATTTGGTGTTGTTTGTTCTCGTTTAACCCTCACGTGCTTGAAACCAGCTATCTGACCACATCATGAGAATATTGAACAATCCATGTTCTGGTTAGCTCTTTAATTTCCCGCGACTACACCTCGTCAGACGGCTGAGTGGTTAAATTTAACGGTAATCCCACATCATATAAGGAAAATGAACTAAAAATGCAGGTGAGCGGCTTCGTCCAAAGGTGATTCCAAGAAATTCGACGGTGTGTTGACGCCCACATGCATTGCTGGTGAGATCTCCATTCATTTAGTGTTGATTGGGCCGCCATTCGTGAACAATGCTACAAATGAAAGTCGACCAACTGTTCTATTTTTGACCCGTTTTGTCGCATGAGAACATGTTCACTGAAAAATTCGTTGGGCCATGCTCGTCTGTTTGACATTGTTATATGGCACAACTGTCGGTGTCCCGATGGTCGCACACGTGTTTCAAATAACACGAGTCTGACGAGGAAAAATAGACTGTTTATTATGTGAAAAAATGGCCCCCACAACATGAATGTTATCCGCTCCGTGGAAAGTATCCCAAAGTAGCTTAAAGGAAAGAAGTCTGCGGCTTGGCATCTGTATCGGTAAAGTCTGATCAGTGATCGTGCATCTATATTGGTAAAGTCTGATCACTGATCGTGCAACTAGATCGGTAATGTCTGATCTCTGATCTTGCAATTAGATCGGTAACATCAGATCACTGATCGTGCATTTGTATCGGTAATGTTGGATCACTGTTCGTGCATTTATGTATGGAACGTTTGATTATTGATCGTGCATTTGTGTCGATAACGTCTGATTTCTGATTCTACATTTATGTGTATCGGTAACGTTGGATCACTGATCGTGCATTTGTCTCGGCAACGTTAGATCACTGATCATGCATTTGTCTTGGCAACGTTGGATCACTGATCGTCCATTTGTATCGGTATCCCTTGGACAGCTTCAGCTCACCGGAGCTACTTGCACCCTTGGTTCTTACTAGTGAAGTCAATTTCAGAAATTTTGGAAACCGATACCAAACAGTTACCGACCAAAACCACTGAGAGCTTACCGAAACCGAACCGATTTTCAGAAATAGGGGGAAATACCGACTAGATACCGAATTCAGGGAATTATCAAACAAATGCTTCAAACTTTCTCAAGATATATGATAAGCATTGAAAGGTAATACTTTGAAATAAGGCAACAAAAACAAATCAGGGAATCTCTAAATTATTTGCATTGCAAAAAAAAACACACATTTATAATTGTATTGTGTAACTATTAACAAATATTCAGGTCAGTTATTTAACTGGGATGTGGATTCAAGTCATCTGCAATCTGCATGAGGTGTTAGGACAATAACTTGAACCATGAATATCATCCCATCCATGACTAAACCATCAAACGTTCTTTCAATTCATGTCATTCAATTCGAGTCCGGTCAAGACAGGGTTAAGTGTGTTTCATGATCCAAAAATGGTGACCCAATTGACAGTGATGGGCTATACCATTAATGTAAACAAAATCCATGATGCCTAAAGTAAACCCAAGTAGCGATGGTGACGACTCCTTACCACCGGGAGTCCGAAGCTCTTCCAACTGAGCCTAGAGACGGGCAATGAGAGTGAGACCCATCCGACCGATCCAATATAAAATGATACGTGTACGATTGTCGATGACGGGGATTCAAATGCTGAATAAGTGTTGTGCGATCATCGAAGTCGTGTCAGATCCTTGTAAGGTTTTCCAGTGACTGTTGCACATAGAAACGTACCTATCGATGAGTATTTTGCATTCATTTTTTGTGTCACTTTTATGTCGTTTGAGATGGTTAGAACGACTTTTTCTATTAAAACTATAAATCATCTCAACCCGACCATATTCTATAGTTTATACCTAAGTACACAAGGTTGTACCTATTCGAGATATTACCCACGTTACACACCAGTATAACGCCTTTTGGGGCGACTAACGGAGCGAGCGAGAGGGTGGGCCTTGCACGTGCGAAATTGCGAGGGGGTACCTCCAACTGCCTTGTGCACGGCACCCTACTAACTGGTCTCTAGCGATGTGCCAAATTTGGGCACAATCGGCCCAGCCGTTCTCGAGATCTGGAAGCGGCACCCTGCACGTGCGCACGTGCAAAATGGGTCCCAACTGACTTGTGCACGGCACCCTACTAACCGGTCCCTAACCGTGTACCAAATTTGAGCGCAATCGGTCCAGCCGTTCCCGAGATCTGGAAACGACCCCTGCACGTGCGCACGTGCAGCAGCACCCCAAC